GGGGTAGGACTAGATAAGTCTAACTTCTTCCTACTCCGTTCAAGCATGTACTAGGTATAAGCAAATTGAAAATATATTTGTGGATATGTGTGGAATTATGTGTGTTGACATATTGACTGTTGTTACATGTTTGAAAGAAGAAATCAAATCAAATCAAATCAAACAATAACTGTTTTGTCCTTGTGATCACAACAAAAAAAAACTGATATCGTTTTCATATTTATATTTCAAGACATGATCACATCAGTGTGAAGACATCCACATTTGGACACGCTAATTCTGGTCTTTTTTTATTTGTTACTGTTGGACTGTTTTTCTGCAATAACTAGTAAAGCCATCAACTGATCTCACATCAGTTTCGGCAGTGATGGCAGTATAGCATATTCTGGGTGATGGTGTACAAGCAAATGGTCATGAAGATTCATGACCATCCCAAACCCTATCTGTACTCACTGCTGTATGGCAGACGTGGTGCAGGACACTTAAATAATTAATACATTGATTTATCAATAATAATTTGACCATTTTTCTTTTTTTCTGCTTAGTTTTTATAGTTTTCCTCACTCTTTAAAATGGAAGTTTGATGTGGACTGTGTAACAGTGTTCATCTCCTGTGTCCATCCCTCAGAGGAGAATGCAGTGGTGAGGTACAGTCTGCTGCCTGGACCCGGCTACGAGCTCTTCAGCATCAACCCTTACACTGGTCTAATCACTACCACCTCCTACCTGGACAGAGAGCAGCAGCAACATTACACCCTCAGAGGTAAGGCACATGAACAAGCATGTGCTGTTTTTCACACACATGCATATAGTCACTGTTAAAACACCTTAAAGACACAGAAGTAACAAAACAGGACAGTGCTAACATTGTGTTAACATTTTCATGAAAAAAACTGCTTTGACACACACCTCAGCATTGTTGTATATGTGGTGTGTTGTGACAGCTTTGCTTAGATATTCACAGAGAACAACTTTAACCCTGGTTGCACTGACCTGGGCGCAACCAGTGACTGCTGACCGCTGCTTGAACTGATGAAAAACTAAATAGCCCACTTGTACTTCAGAATTTCCTAGACTGTAAAATAGTTCCCTCATATCCAGACCATACTAAGTGTCAAAATATCAGCATGCAGATGCTACTAAGACTGGATAAATACACCTTTTGGGTTTATGAAACATAGTGATTTACTGCTAGCGATAATAGCATTATATCGGGGGCGTGTCTAGAAAATTTTGGATGGGCTGGCCAGACTCCGAGGTGGGTGGCACATTTGAAATACATATAAAAAGTGTATTAAACCCCTAGTTCTGTGAAATAAAAAAACATAGATTATTAGGGACCCAGCTGTTTGTGTAAAATTGAGGCTCATAGTGTATTCTTTAGCTAACTTTGGCTGTGCTCCTTGTCTACTCCCTGGCCGGGGACGTTGCCGCTGCACAGTGGTTCACCCCCACTAAGGTGAATCATGCCAAGTACTCCACAACAACACAAGAAATGTATTGTAGCTAAGCAGGCATAGTGCCTCCAGGAGTTTGGGGGTAAATACTGTATAGTGCAAGACCCTCATTCTTTCACAATAATATGAATATGCATTGAGTAGCAGTAATGCTCAGAAGGTGATAACTACAGTAATGGTGATTTTCATGTTTTTTTTCCACTTGTTTCTTGTTGGTTCACAAGATTAGGCAAGACAGGTTTATTTTTATAGCACATTTTTATTCACAAAACTATTCAAAGTGCTTAACACAGTGCACAGACTATAGACTATATAGGCTATGTACTTTTTTATAAGCTTTATTTGGTCATGTACAGTAGCATGGGTGAGATCAAGATCTTTTTTGCAGGAGAGGCCTGGGTATGGCAGGAGAATTAATCCAATAGGACTTTCAAGTATCAGAGTCAGTGTTTTCTTGTGGGATATTAACAATTCCAGTCTGGTCTGACTGGCAGTTGAGAAAAATGTGATATATTGAGGCGCCACTATTAGAAAACATTTATAAAACAAACAATAGTGTTTTTTTTTTTTTCTTTTTTTTTTACTTTGTCAAGCTGTATGGTATTTTTCTCTTGTAAAGAAATGAGTACTTAGTGTCATGCATATGATAAGATGAGAGGTATTGGATTTGTCTGATTCACCTCAATGAGTGCAACATGAAAAACATCGGAAAACATAGTGACAAACAGCCCAGTCGGACACAATCCAGAGAGGTAAACTTCCCACTGCACTGCGGAGCAGACATCTTGAAGTAAGGTAGTGATAATCACCAGTTGGACGAGTTAGAGTCGCCACCCAGTTGATGTAAGTTTAGAGTTTTTATTGAGCAGCTGAACCTATATAATCAGTGGCTGTGATCGACATCTCCTGGGGAAACTTTGGACAAAAAGGTCTTTTAATGAAATCCCATCCAACTTTTTAAAAGTCTTTGATTTTGTTCTTTGCACATTGTTCCTGCTTGGCTACACATGTATGTCAATACTTCTGCTCCTCATACCGAAGGGTTATAAAATATCTTATACAATAAAAACCTCAATAAAACACAGGAGGTTGTCTTTTACAGCCTGTATTAAACACATTTCACTCGTTCTCTAGCCCTTTCTGTTTCTGATTCTCTACCTTCTCTCTTATCACGCTTCACAGCCAAAGTCATAAAGAATTCAAGGTCTGCTTTCTGTGTGAAAGCAACATTATTCAGCAGGTTGATGTATGTAAAGGAAGCAGCAGACTAAAGGGCCGAGGTACAGTACATCTGCATGGCTGCACCCGCAGCCTTTTGAAGTGTTTGTTTTCACTCGCTCATGGGTGTACACAGTAATTACATTCAAGCTATAGTTCAGTGATAAACTGCTTTCAGATGTTTTGTCATAATATTTGTACAGTCACCAATATAAGTATCACAATTAAATTTAATAACAAAATATAATAACAGGAAAGCCAGGATGTCTTGAAGTTGTGCCAGAATCACATGGGCTTATTGGGAAATACTGAAAAATGTGGAGACAATTTTCTCTGGCTGCTGATGAATCTGGAAAGAAATGAAATACCAAGTTCTTTTCAGCAAGTATTAAATGCTGTGGCAGTGCACGTTATGTTGACAGGTTTTCTTTTTCATTTTAAGAGTCTGTACTTCTTTTACAAAACTAATCTGGCTTCAGTCTTTGGTCAGCAAATATGCAGCCAATAAGACTACTGAGCAAAGCTGTATCTTTCAATACACTGTTACATGTAGTACTCGTGTATTCATTACATGCAGAATATTGCATTTGAATGAGCCAATAATATTAGTCTGTGGTCCCATCTAGCTGTATTTAATTTGAGCCACACCAGCAGCATGAATCAGAGACTGGTCTGTTGGTCTGTTGGTCAGCCAATCCACCGCTTTGGTCCCCTGAAATGCCTCAGCAACTGTTGGATGCTGTGGTATTTGGAACAGATAATCATACCCCAGAGGATGAATCCTGCTGGTCTTGGTGAGCTCTGACTATTCACTGAGCACCAGGGTGACATATTTGCCTTTCAATATAATATTAGTATAAATATACTTTGTCTACTTATTGAACTGGCACAAGGTTGGCGTGGTTTCCAGATGATGAAATCAATTATTTTGCTGATCCTCTGACTTTGTCAACTTCTTTCAGCCTTCCAAAGTTTTGTGTCTAATATTGATGGTGCAAAACCAGCATCCTCATTAGGCCAAGCTGTAAGTTTTGATTAGTATTAATTAGCAAATCTTAGCATGCCAACACACCGAACTAAGATGGTGGATATGCTAAACACTGTTCTCGCTAAACATCAGCATGCAAACATTTTCACTGTGAGCGTGTTAGTGTGCTGATGTTAGTTTAAAGCACCACTGTGCTTAGGTACAGTTCTACAAAGCTACTAGCAGCTACTAGCTACTAGCTACACTCTCTAGTCTAGAAACTACTACTCATAACAGGAGCTCTGGTGTTTTATCAAACAGTAAGACATTGTATACAGTTGCTTTGAAAAATTAATTGGATCAAAGTTTGTAAAGCTACAAGAAAAAACACTGAATTAATGATTCCAAACTTTAAGTTTAGCAACAAAAATTATACCAAGATTTCTGCAGTGGACGTGCATGTGAATGCCTTTCGATTCCTGCTCTCAGTCCAGGCTCGTGACAGCGGCGCTCGATGTCTTTCCAGCACAGCCACAGTGCTGTGCTCTGTGCTGGATGACAATGACAATCCTCCAGAGTTCATGCAGTCATCCTTCCAGATCAGCCTACCAGAAAACCTGCCTCCTGGGGTCATCCACAATGCTCAGGCCACTGATCCAGATCATGGAGAAAATGGAACTGTACACTACTCCATAGTGGGTAAGGAATGTAGATGGTGCTTTTTATATCAAGCAGTTGGATTTGTGTTTTGTAATTGGCTATAATTCATATCAGTTCATCACAGTTGTGGTTTTAGACATTTAAAGTGTGGTCATTTGTGGTTTACTTATCAGTAAAGTGGCTTAGATGGCTTGTTTACAGCCTGTTTGACTGCTCAAGCCAAACTTTATCACAGTAGTGTTGTTGGGTTTCAAGATCTCAGCAATGACTTTGGGAATCATAGTTTTACCACTATAGAAATGATGGACTCATCTGCAAATGTAAGACCAAAGTTGTAATGAAGTAGAATTATTCTCTAGTTTTTATGCACCTTTAAGTTGACACTACATCTCTAATTGTCTTTAGGTGATGACTACAGAGATCGCTTCACCATCAACAGCCACACGGGTGCTGTAAGCACCACGCAGGTCCTTGACCGCGAGGAAAGACAGAACTATACAATCATCATACAGGCCCGTGACTGTGGCCCCGCTCCACTCAGCTCCTCCACCCAGCTCCAGCTGGTACTGCTAGACCAGAATGACAACATCCCCTCCTTCATCCATAAAATCTACCACACCTCCATCAGCGAGGGTCTATCTGCTGGAGCTGAGGTTCTGCGTGTTAACGCCTTTGATCCTGATGAGGGATCCAATGGGGACATAACCTATTCCCTGACAGAGGACAGCAGTCAGGGGGTCTTCTCAGTGGACGCTTTCACAGGAGTGATACACACCACCAGGATGCTGGACAGAGAGCGCAGGGCTCAGTACACCCTCAAAGCTGTGGCGACTGACGGCTGCTCTCAAGGACCACTGAGCTCTGTGGCGTCTGTGACCATACAGGTGGATGATGTCAATGACAATGTGCCAGTCTGTGACCAGAATCCCATAAATGCATGGGTTTCCATGAGGACGCTACCAAACCAGATAGTCACCACAGTGATGGCAACAGATGGCGACCAGGGTGAAAATGGGACTATACAGTTTATGTTGTCTGATGAGGAAAAATTGTTTGACATCAACAGCAAGTCGGGAGAGATTTCACTGAGGAGACGAGTGAGGGCAGGTTTCTCCGGGAGGACGCTGCACATTGTGGTTTCAGACCAAGGACGTCCTGCTTTGACTTCCACCTGCCTGTTTTTTGTCCATCTGAAGGGGGAACATGAAGGATTACAGTTCACAAACAAAGTGTACAATGCTACTGTCAAGGAGAACAGTGGAGCTGGTAGGTTTCACCACTTCTGTTCCTGTTGTTTTCACTGATACCACTGAAAACTCATCAACCTTTTCACTGTGTCAAGGCACGTGGATTGTAAAAGTGGAGGCCAGTGACCAAACCAAGAGTGGACAAAGAGTCACTTACACTATATTTAGTGGCAATGAGAATCACATTTTCTCCATTAACCGTTACACAGGTAAGGAACGAACAAAATCACTGCTTTTGCTTCTTATGCTGACTATGAGGTTGTTGGTGGCGTTCAGTTCACTGAGTAGCAGTAGGTATGCTTGTTTTGGCTTTCATCATTTAAGTTATACTAATAACACAGTTCTGTTTCATTCGTCCATCATATTTTCTTCACAAAATAACTTTTAATTTCAAGTCCTCACCGTTTCATCAACTTACCTGGTTCAGTTGGGGCGACTGTGGTTCAGTGGGTAGAGCAGTCATCTCCCCACTGGAGGGTCGGAGGTTCGAATCTCTGTGCCTGCAAAGTGTCCTTGGGCAAGACACTGAACCCTCAAGTTGCCCCCGGTGGTTAGAGCCATCGGTTGAGTTGGCACCACAGATGGCTGCCTCGGTTCTGAACAAATTCCTTGTGTGCAACGTACTTGGCCAATAAAGGTGCTTATCCTTATCCTTCTTAATATACAAGTATTTCCTAAGGAATTATAACTGTTGCCTGCTGTGATTCATGTTCTAGCCTCATAGACAGAATCAAATTTTTCAATGGTTACCACAAAACCTGATCCTTAAAGTGTTCCTGTTTTTAATAATCAAAAGCTGTGATTTCCTCTCACAGTTTCCCTTCAGTTTCTCTTGATCTGTGGCAGTCGAGGACCAAAAGAAAAATGCCAAGACCAAAAAAAAGACCAAACAAAATCTTATGTAATAATGATAGTAATATTATAATTTAGAACATACTGAATGTTGTATTTTGAAATATGCTTCCACTTTAGCCTTGAAATAAAACGAGCTAAGAGTTTTTGAGTGTACCCTGCTGTTTGTTCATTCAGGTGAGATACGGGTGCAGAAAGATAACTCTCTGGACTTTGAGGTGAGCCCTCAGATCCAGCTGGTGGTGTTAGCTGATACCGGGCTGCAGACAGCTCACTGCAGGGTGTCCGTCGCCCTCCTGGACGTCAATGACAACGCACCGCTGTTTGAGTACAGCAGCTACAGAACAGCTGTCTGGGAGGGGCAAGTGCGCAACACCTACATCATGCAGGTATAGTCTTTGACATTAGAAAAGTATCAAGCAAGTGTGTCATATATTTGTTTATGACAACAGGTGATCCCATTAATACTGACCACTTCCCATATTTTGAGCAGGTGTTTGCATCTGATGCTGACAGCGGGATGAACAGGCAGATTGAATACACCATTGTGTCTGGTAACCAAAATGAAGCATTCATTTTGGACTCTGTGCGTGGGATCCTTGCTACCAATGTTTTACTGGACCGCGAGATCACTCCCTCATACAAGTACACCAGGCTCACACATTCAATAATATTGGCTAATCCTTTATAGCACATGTGACATTTAAGGATTGATTAATTATATGTGTTTAATAATGGTTCTGTGATAATCTGTGATAAATGATGCATGTTGTTGACCATAGTTGCAGGTAAATGTGTACGTACAAACTCTACCTGTTTGTACAGTTTGAACATGTTATCATTTTAACATCAGAAACACATAATTGTGTTGGCATTTAACACCCTAACCCCTGGAAAATGTATATAGCTCACAGAACACTTGCTACTCAGAGACAACAACTAATGCTACGGACTTGAAACTAACACCAAATTGTAGCTGAAACTCTGCTGATTCAGTAGAGGGTCAGCGAGTTTGGCTTATGTTTCACTGGTGCTATGCTAGATCCTGAAGAAAACTGACTTTAGTTAAATATCGTTTTTCTTGGATAACTTTCAAACTAATAGTGATATGTCAATGTGATTCCAGATGCAAGGGATACATTTTCATGGTTAAGAGGGGAGTTTTGTTTTTAGGTCAAATGTCATTACAGGGTAAATGAGCTGCTTTGTTGGAGGTTTGCTGCCTCTAAATGCTGTCCAGAGCAAATTAGTCCAAATGGGAAGTTGGTCACTGCTTTTCATGAATCAGAAAAACATTCTTCGTCTCACAAGCTGATCACGAGTGCTTCACTAGTTTCATTAGTGTCTCTAATTAAGCATGAGGAAACATACTCATGTTGAAAATTGCAGCCTGCATTTTTGCAAATTTGATTAAATGGGCCCCGGATCCTTCAATTACATTATGTCTGTGCAGTGACCAACATTTCAAAGCTGATTCAGCCATAACAGCAAAACTGTGGTCTGAAATTGAAAGGACTGAAGTAAAATTCAAATCACTGATTTCAGAATGTTCGTGTGATTTCAAAATTGGTTCACGAAACGAAATGTTCGAATGTACTCAAATTACAAATATCTAAAATATCTACTTAGTTATATTATTGAGAGCACTATACTGTAATAATAACATTTCCAACCAGGCCACATTGGTACTAAGTGCCATCATTTGTTTACTCCCTTTATATTGTAGGCTGGTTCTTCAGGCAGTAGACAGGGGGAACCCTCCACTCAGCAGCACTGCCACTATCAGGGTCCAAGTGGTGGATGTAAATGATAACAGCCCTGCCATCCCCTCCATGGAGCCCATAATTGTAGCAGAAAGTAAGATCAAGCTCCACTGCTCTCTGACTGCTTTCTAAAAGATATTCCCATTAGCACATAAACACATTTTGTAAACTAAGACTGAAATTTAGGAATTTGGTTCTGTTGAAATCTAGTGTATATTCTCTTTCTATATTGTGCTACTGTCTTGATATTTTTTCTGCAGATCTGCCAGCAGGATACATGGTCACTCAGCTGACTGCAAACGATGTGGACCTGAGTTCGACCATCACCTACAGCTTTTCAGAAAGCGGCAGCACCAATGTTCCCTTTGCTATCGACCAGTATACTGGCGTGGTAACTCTAACACGAGCCCTAGACTATGAGGAGCAGATGGAGTACACTCTGACGGTCTGGGCGTCTGACTCCCTCCACCAAACCACCGGAGAGGTCAAAGTTCAAGTGCTTGATGTCAATGACAATGCTCCGGTCTTCAGTCAGCTCTCCTATCAGGTACAGATGATATTAAAAAAAAAAAGGTAGAAGACCTGTATGCCACCTGGTTGGGGACACCATGGCATGGGTAAAATGGGACTGTAAAATAACAAAGAGAATCTTTCTTTCTATGCCTTAGTGTTTGCTATAATAATTTAAAATTCATAATTTCTTATTGTTTTATTATTCTCTAAAAAAACAATGAGGACAACCTTTTGGTCACCATGTTGTAAAAATCCATTATTATTTGCTGAAAACTGATTATTAATTTTAACTGCAGACTTGATGGCTTATTAAAGTAACTAGAGCATTAAAAGGTTACTCCAGTGATGTGGTGAGATATCTTGACTTTAAGCCTTAAATATGGTTCGGTATAGTTTCCTGTAGTAGCAATTGTCTTTCATTAAAGTGTGAGAAAAAGATTTTTCAAACCTGGCCAAGTTGTTCTTATAAAGTTGATTATAAAGCATTAATAAATTAAATACTAGCCAGTAAAACCTAATAAAACATTTGTTATAATTACAAGCCCTTTATAAAGTATGCCATCATACAACATGGCATCTGACTGAATACGTATCATGAATGTGCTGCAGATGTGAGTTCTTTTAACTTTTTTCTTCAAGGTGGAGTTGTCAGAACTGGTCTCAGCTGATACGCTAGTCGTGTCAGTGTCAGCCACTGACAGAGACTCTGGAATCAATGGCAAGATCAGCTACAGACTGCTTTCATCTCCTTTACAAGGGTTTTACATCCAGCCAGGCAATGGTAAGAACAGCTTAACCAATGGAAAAGAAATCCTCCGATATCTCTGATATGTATGTTTCACTGACAGAAAAGAGGTTAAGCAGTCACCAAAGGACAAAAGCAAAATCCAAAATGCACTGTAGTTTTACTGTAAATGATAACATTATAGGCTCATACAGGCTACCAGAGGTTACCGAGAGTTTTCATTCTGCCAGTGGAAGATTGTTCTCTCTCTTTTTTTTTTAAGTCTTGGATGTGCAAGTGAGTTCCTTGGACTAAGAGAAGCAGCAAAGAGAGAGACATAAAGTACCTGTCCTATTATTTCCATTTTAAAATCCACAAATCCAAGAAAGGAGAAGAAACCAAACCAGCACTCCTCACTGGCCAGTCTTTTCACCTAACTGTAATTTATGGGCTTCTGCTATGTTTGAGGTTTAATATCAGAGAAGTGTTTGTGCCCTGTTTTGCAGTGAGGAGCACTAATGTAAAGTGAAATTTGCATTAGTGTTGAGTAAAGTTCTCTTAACTAGAATCTAAAACTAAAATAGGGTGCTTTTTGAGGTGTGGTGCGCCTCAGTTTTTCCATTTGTTTCACAAACAATAAATGGTGCTGCATTAGAGCAAAGCCTGAGAATTCATAGTCATACTGGAGAAAAGTGGCATTGAAATGGAATAATAAAAGGGATGGACAAATGTTATTGCCTTCCAAGAAAAAAATCTGCTTGCAGTTTGCACATGGAATTCATTTAAGTATTGTCACAGAGGAAATAATGTTGCTTTGCAGTGTCTAATGACAAGGGCAATTTTTATTTAACTCTCAGTATATATTCATACAAGCAGATGTTGTAAAATTTTTATTTTGAAGAGAATCATTTCCAGGACCAGTCTGTGTATTGTTAAGTCAGTTTTAAAGATTTATAGCTTTACATTGTTGTGACCAGATAACCTTTTCATAGTTTCTCAATCAATTGCTCAAACTTTATTGCCAAGTCTGTTAAAATACAAGGAATTTGATTCTAGCTTAATAGCCCCCAATGTGCACCAAATAAAACAGAAAAAAAAACAATTGAAATAAATTTCATTAAAAAATGTTTTTAAGTAGTTGATATCTGACTGCAATATGTTTTGGTAGAACTAATCAATTTGAATTTATTTCCCCACACATCAGCAGCAAATGAAATCAAATATACTATTATCACTTTGTAAAGTTATTGTGGTAACTTTGTTGGCAACTTGGTTTTTGACAGTTACAGAAATAGCCATACAGAAGACACAGAGTAACATTGATTTAGTGTCTTTTTCTGGACAGTTGATGAATATAGGGCTCTCTTTAGCTTTTTTTTTTTTTTATAGCTGGGATATGTAGATTTCGCCACAGCCTCTGTTCTGATATCATGTATGTAGCATATTTAAGCCCCTTTTTGCTTGAGTAAATTTTAAAAACAGGTAAGTGGGAAATATTAAATGTTAGCTGGCACTAACATTAGCTTAGCTGGCTAGCAAGCGTGCTACACCAGGTCAAATATGCTAGGAATAGCTGTCACTACACAGTCATTGGATTTATTGCTAATACTGGTACAACTAAAATTCATGTACTCATGGGCATATTTTTGCCTTGCAGGGTCTGTTTTCACAAATAAGCCTCTAAAGGCCATCACAAACAGCAACCTTATCCATCTTCTGGTCGAGGCCAGAGATGGTGGCGATCCTGTGCAGTCTGCTGTCACCTCCATAGACGTGGTGATTCTGGACAGCAATGACCATGCGCCTTTGTTCCACCAGGACATCTACACCCTCACCGTCTCAGAGGATACCCCCACAGACACCACCTTACTGACCCTCTCTGCAGAAGACCAAGACTGGAGCCCTGAAAATACCCATTTGGACTACAGCATAATCAGGGGAAATGAGGAGAAGCGATTCTGTCTAGAAGTAAAAATGGTTCAAGTCAAGAACCAGATGAAATATGTAGGAAAACTTGTTCTGTGTAACCCCTTAGACAGAGAAACCACTGAGAGCTATGCGCTAACAGTGAGTGTGTCTGATCGTGGAATACCTCCATTGAACAGCACTGCTGCCATTATGATGACTGTGACAGACTGCAATGACAATGCCCCTGTCTTTTCTAGCACAGAATACCATGCACATGTGAGCGAAAACAGCAAAGTAGGTACCAGGCTGGTCCAGGTCAGTGCTCAGGATCCTGACCTTGGAACTAATGGCCTGTTGCAGTATGACATTATCTCTGGGAACAGCAAAGGTCACCTCAAGCTTGAACCTCAGTCTGGCCTTTTGGTCGTCAACAACTCTCTTGATTATGAAGAAGATTCAAAATACACACTCACTATCCGAGCATCTGATGGTGGTAGATCATCAGAAGAACGTAAAGTGGCTTTTACAGTTGTCTTCATCACAGTGTTGGATGAAAATGACAACACTCCATACTTCATGTTCCCTACTATTAACTGTTCTGTGTTGGAGAACCTCCCAGCGTTTACCCACACCTGTTCAGTCCATGCTGTTGACAATGATTTAGGCCTTTATGGGCAGCTCACTTATTCGATTCTGTCCTCCTGCTTCATGGAATATGGGAGTGGCAGCCCTGAGAGGAAGGAAGCTTTTGCCATTGACCCCCTAACAGGTGACATTCACACCAGACAGACCTTTGATTATGAACGTGAGGATGAATACTGCTTCATAGTTGAGGCCAGAGACAAAGGTGACAAGGCAACCACAGTGAGAGTGCAGGTGGCCATCAAGGGAGTGGATGAGTTCAGTCCTGTCTTCACCCAAAAGCAGTACCACTTTCTCCTGCCAGAAAACATCCAGCCTGGACAGACAGTCGGTTACGTGATGGCAATGGACCATGATGGCGGGGTAGACGGGCTGGTGGAGTACTCCCTTGTGAACTCCTCACCATTTTTCTCAATAAACCAAACAGTTGGTGCTATCTTTGTGTCAAGGCCTGTATTTCGCAGAAGAGGCCATGCCATTGAGGACATGGTGGAGCTGGTGGTGTCTGCAGGTAGTCCCAGGTTGGGCTCCAGGACCACCACTTGCCTGGTTTTTGTCAATATCTCCAGCTCAGCAGAGGCATTTACTGGGGTGCCTCTTGATGGGCACATGCTTAGTTTGAGTGTCTCACTAATCATGCTCCTCTTCATCCTTGTCATTTTTGTGGGCTTGGTGCTCACATACAAGATCAAACAGGCTGCCATCAAAAAGGCTGCTGCCATTGCCGCAAATTTGAACCATGGCACAGGCTCATTCAGTAGCTCAAGCAGTGAAACTCAAAGTGCTATCTCTCTGCAGGAGGTGGAACGACCGAGCATCTTGGTGACCACAAGGGACATATCAAACCCATGCAATCAGTCGCACTCGAGCGGCCGTGGATCAGCAGAAGGTGAGACTGCTGAGGACCAAGAAATCAAGTGGATTAACCAGTACCCCTGCCATAAAAGAGACAAATCCCTAAATAGCAACCATGCCACTGAGATCCCAGAATCTGCCTTACCTGGAGATAATATCTCCTGCCACTCCCTTAATGTAGGGCCGGAGCATGATTTATCGGTCAATAAATGTTTAATCTCAGGGATACCCAGCACAGAAAGCCTCCACCATTTCAAAGAAGAGGGAGGAGGCGAGGGACTGCTTCCTGCAGTGTTTAGGGTGAGGGATTTGGAGGAGAACATGGGAATGAAAGGGTATGCTCTCCTCTCTCAAGCCCAAGCTTCTGCAGATTCTCTCACTTCACTTGTCTGTGTGGAGGAACAGCTGCAGGGTGGCTACAGGTGGGACTACCTTTTGGACTGGGAGCCACGATTCCACACTCTGGCCTCTGTCTTCAATGATATTGGGATGCTCCCTGATGAGGAGCTCCAAGGCGGCAGTGAGGACTTAGCAGCAGAGTCAAGCTGTCTCATGTACCCACCGCCACTTATAACAGGGGTAGCTCAGCCTGGCATCAGAACCGTACCTCCGCAAAAGCCAAGGCGTGTGTCAAGCTTAAGCAGGAAGCCCTCTTACCGGAAATATGTGTATTCTCCCTTAACCAGGAACACAGGACTAACCCCTTCAGCCATGACACCTAATTTCTCTCCATCACTGTCTTCTCTCACCATGAGGACCCCCAGTGCCTCACCAGTTGTCTCTGAGACTGGGGTGGGGGGTATCAGACTTGATACAGCACCCCCTGCTGCCAGCCTTTTGGACACAGAAATACAGGTGTAGACACGAAGCTTGACTGTTTATCTGTGACATTCAGGTCCATCTGAAGTATTTTTAAGAGACTAATGCAATACTGCACCGTTTGGTTTTGGTTTGGGGTGACTGACATCATTCTAACATTTTTATAGAACATAACATATCAGACTTTCCAGACAAGAAAAAATCCTGGGTTTCAAGAGTCTTGAGGCAGAAATATCATCTAATATAATAAAAAATAATTTAACTGCTTAGCTTGAGATTGCTTTCGTAACTTGCTTCTGTGATAAAGCTAAACTCTGAAAAAGCTTGAATCCAGCCTTGCATTATATTTTTATAATGCATCACATTGAATTAAGAATTGTTTGATGTTTTATTGTAAACATTTATATGTGCAGAAAATTAAACAATTTTTATTGCAGTTTGTCGCAGCTTCTAAATGAACAGTTTTTAAAGTCAGTTTAATTGTAATAACCAAAGAAAGACAGCGTTGTACTGTAAATACACCTTTCTGCTTGGAATAATAAGTGTTTTGTATTCAGGCCCCTTTTCTCCACCACTTTAATATAGTTTTCCAATAAAATAGCAATAAAATATCATGACAAACAGAACCCGTTCCTTCAGTCTAGGACAGTTCTTAATTTCAGACTCTTACCATTCTGTTGTAGTAGTTCCAATATTTCTCCACCACTATGATTTGTTTTGTGCCAGCCAATCTAACAACTGCTTTTCCTAAATTTTACACTGCTTGGTTTGCCTTTAGAGAAATCCCTAACTTTATGTGCAGCCTCCTCAAATCAGTTGGAGTAATGGAATCAACACATCAGTTGTTCAGGGTTGTCTCAAAGCAACATTTAAACCCTATTAATGATCACAAACCTCTGCCTCTCTGGTTCCCAGCACATCTTAGATGTGTTGAGTAATTCAAATACATAAGGAATAGGGTGAAACAAAATGGCAAGTCATTATAATTATCAAGCTACCCCTGTTCACCTGCAGACTCAAATGTTTTTCAACAAACCAGTCTTGACGGATCGTGAAATCCTCTCATAAGCTAGCATTAGTGCACTTTCCCTGTATTGTTTGTTGTGAGAGGAGGCTTTGGAGACTTTTTTTCCTTTTATTCAGCAATCTGAACATTTAAGTATTTTTTGTTTCTCCAAGAAAATTAAAATAGAAAGTGATTCACCATGGCTCCACTTGGTCTGCTTTTAATCTAAATGTGCTGCCCTCGGGAACCATTTGAGCTGGGGGAGCTGAGGACCTAAAGACTTTATCAGATAGTTTCATAAAGGATAATAAACAGTCAGGTCCTGAGCCATACCAGTCAAGTGCATCCTGAATGTAGTCACTGATAGGTCTGTAATTATTTATTGACTCAGTTCCCTGTCTCCTCTGCACTGCAGTGGGTTTTGACCAGCTCCACACTCTTCTGTTTTTGTGATTTCAGCAGTTCCTTGGCCTTAGGATCATGGTGATGGACGCGATGTCTCGCCATATCAGGTGATCTGACCAAACAAGCTTCTGTGTCTCCGCTCAGCAGTCCCCACTTCACTTAGCTGATCTTTATCAAATACTGTTTGTCACTCAGTCAGGCAGCTAAATTTGCTAAGAGAAGTCAGGCAATCTCAAATGCACAGAAATTCTTTTGCACTATGGATAAGCAGAAAAGATTATGTTGAATACATATTTTAGAAAATTCATGTATATAAATTCATATAAAGTGGACAGCTGAAATTCTCAGCAGGGCCAGACTAACATGATATGGGGCCTTGAGGCACAAATGCATTGCTGGGTCCCCATTAACCCTCCATTCCTCCTGCTCTCTGTGTAGTGTGTACATGTGGCAGTATTAAGTGGCCCCAGGTTTGTTTTGTGGTAAACGGATCAACTTCATATGGGTAAATAAATTAAACACACATTAGTTTAGGAATATGTAAAATAAGCACAATAGAGAAATAATTAAGGGTTTCATTTTACCCCAAACAATTAGTAGCGACTGACGTGTCTTCTCTGATGTTGTTTTTCTAGTAGCAGCTAACTCACCCACTGTGATGTTGATTGGAGTTGTTTCACATTAGGAATAGAACAGTGCTGATCTCAAACAGACACAATCAAATCAAGGCAAACAATGATCTCTTACTTCTATTTTAATGCTCATTCATCTGTGTTGGATCCCCACTCATCAAATCTGGTTAAGGGTGAGTTCACAGTGTTTCCCCTCAGCCATCTTTTCATCCAGAACAAGAAGAAAAGATTTTCATCTGATAGTGCAATCTAATAATCACTTGGAAAAGGAGGAATGGTGAAAATAAAATAACACGTGTTCTCAGCCTGGCTTGAATTTCACATTTATCTGTACTTGCATTCTATTGAGTTATTTACTGGACTCTAAAAAGTACTGTATTGTGGTTCTGACTTGTACTTCAGAGGACCTGAGGCTGTATGAGCCCGTGAAGAAATTTAGGTTATATTCACTTGGCAGAGAGGGAGCGGGAAATTGCACTCAGGATGACAGCTCATTTTATAATAAATGGACTGTTTTCATATCCAGTATTAAAGGTTTTGGTACAGCGCTTAAGTTCCCACTGGGATCAAAATACAACTTGATGTACTAGACAACATGTTTTTGTATTTTCTCGTACATACATTTGTGTTTTGACATAGACAAATGCAATCCAGGTTTGGTGTCAGGGATGCAGTGGGTTGTTAGACTTTTAGCTAACAGTGGGGGGAAAAAATCTTGTGTAAGTAATGCAGATTTGTAGCATGAGATTTTTATTACAAATTCCACATGTTACAAAGAGAGCTATAACAAAAGCATGTACTCTTCTAAATTTCCTACACGAAAGATGGCCCCGCCTACAGACTGAAAAATGAGAACATAAGCAGCTCATTCTGGTGTTAGCAACTGCTTGGCTGTGTTCAAATCAAATTGTAATTATAGATAATGTTATATATACTGTATATATACTCTGTATATTCTTTTCATTTGCACAAGTTCCTGACAATAATCACTTTGCACTTTTTTTCTAAACGGGACAGTCTGCTGATTACCCTTCAGATATTTATCTTGGATGATGCATTGCAGGGTTGAACCAGGTTGAAGATTGAACCTAGACTGAGAACTTTTGATGCTTTTGGTAAATGAAAACAAGTTTATGTAGAGTATGGCACAGACGTGCTAGCTACCATGAGGCTGTACATAGGCAAATGGGTGCTTTGCACTAAATGCTCATAATGACATTGCTCACATGCTGATGTCTGGTAGGTATAATGTTTACCTTGTTAGTATTAAGTTTAGTATTTTAGCATTAGCTAATGCCGTCTTTTAATTTATCCCTAAAAAAAAAAAAAAACACAGCTGCCTCGTTTGCTTGATTGCAGCCAGTCCAGCAAAACAGCAAGGGTTAAACTTTTGCAGCATGATCCATCGGTTCATGCTCTGCATTGGCCAGTCAAATATGCATTCCTAATGGATTACATTGTAGTCTTATTTATACTGTATTTCTGATGAAAGATAAGAGTTTTTAATGTGATAACTTGTATATAAAATCTGGTCTCTGTATATGTAAAACTACTACTCAGTGTTTAGTGTGGTGGTAATCCTTTAAATTCACAGGTGTGATACTCAGGCTGGACTTGTGTCACACATACTGCTACTAGTTACAGGTTGCTTCTTATCAGTGTAGAGTAAGGCTGCAGGGGAATTATAACTACTGAGGCTTTCACTGAATGTAGGTAAAGTTTTAGTTTAGAGGAGAGCCAGACTATGTTAACAGTCTAGCTGCAGCACTGTGGTAAAAGTGTGCACCACCACGCAAAACTTTGGACACACTTTCTGATTGAACTGAATGGGAAAACTTTTGAGTGGTACTGTAAATCATCACGTTAATTAATCACTGCTGAGCCTTTTGACTCCATGCAATCAGCACGTGTGCAGAGTCTTGATATTTTTCCATAAACCTGTAATTTCATCTAGTTGCTGAAAGATTATAAAAACATTGTTTTCGTGCCTCGTTTACAGGCTGGAAAAAATCCAGATGTTTTTTATTTTCTCTCTTCTAGCTTTTTCACAGAGCAGAAGTTAAAAGTTCTTCACATGCACCCTTCATTTTAAAATGAGAATAAGTGATCCTAAGCCAAGGTTAGTGCCACAGACATGGTAGCAAGGTGTGACAGAAATATATTAAATTCCAGTGCACACTAGGGACACCTATGTAATCTTCATTATTATTTAATTTCTGCCATAATGCGAAATGCGTTACTCACACATTTGTAGTCGTATGTACAAACTAAAGATCAGAATACAAACTTTTGGTTTCTAGATTTTATTAGTAAGGATCATTAAAACACATACTGCAACAACAAAATTTAATAATAATTACTCTAGCAATCCAATCAAGTTGAATGGGTGCAACACGTACAGTATGTTTTGTGGGCCCATTAGTCCCATTAGTACACCCACCCCTTCCTTTTAATTCATTGCATATAGGTGACAAGTAGTGTTACAAATTACTTTGCAGAGTAAATTCTTAGAATCAAAACTTATTCTCATAAAATGTTATTCTGTTATACAGTAAACTAATTCAACACTATCAGTTACTGTACCTAGTACTATAATTCTTAAATGCCACTTACACACTGATTTATTTCTTCATTCATTTCAGGCCTCAGGAGACCTTGTGACTGAGTTATGCTGTGGACTACAACTTGAGCCTGATATATTTTTTTTAAGCCTATTCTCGTTTAAATTTTGGAAAACCAAGTACACCTAATTCACTTAATACCTCCAGTTTGCTGGCAATGAATTACTTTGGAAAACGTTTTTTAAACACTGGAATATAGCCTCGTTATCTTGAAGGTGCAAAACATCCTAATGATACAGAAAGCAGCCCGAATTATAACCCGCGCAAATAGATTTTTACCTTCCCAGCAAAAAATAAAAATAAAAACCTTATCCCAGTTCTGAAAATGAATGGTCAAGACAAGACGTGCACAATTCCCACAAACACATACATGTAGTAGGATGTAGTAGGGCCTGTAGCTCCTTGAATGAGACCAGTGTGGAGTGGAGAATGAGCTTTGCTGGTGGAGGGCAGGAGAAAGAGGGTCAAACAGACTGAGATGTATGAAGGAGCCTCAAGCATCACATTTGGGTCCAATCAAATCAGAGATGTTTTTTGGCCACAATATATAAAACAGATGGACCAAAAATGGGAGGAGTACGATTCTTTGGTATAAAAGCTGTTCAGAGAGAAGAAGTAGCATTCTTTGTCTTTTTAGGGCAAATGGTCTTTGCTTTGTAGCTTTCCTTTTTGTTTTCTGAACTGTTGTCTGTTCTTCCATGCTTCATACTGAAGCATTTAAATTTCTTGTCTTTAAAGTGTTGTTTTGTAGTTTTTGCCTCTGGTACTGATTATCTTCATATTTTTTCTTTAGCTTGCATGGCCTTCTGTTAACAATAATAATATGTCAACCTTTGGCCTGGCTTTAATTTGAGGCCCAATAGATTCAGCCACACACTGGAGTGTGACTGTCACCTTAAAGCAGTGTCTCTGGACATGCAAAGTTGTCTCACACCCTCAAGTGACCTCTAGCCTCTCAGGAAAGCAGTGGGGGATGAAGTGTACTCAGAGGGTGGGGGTTGTTTTTGGTGAAAACTTGAGGGCAGGTGTTCCCAACTGGGGCCTCCACACCTAGTATAAGAGGTCTAGCTCTTCTGTGATGGATGGGTCTGGCTGAGATGCCAGGCCTCTTTGGGGCAGAGTCCATAGTAGGGGAGGCACCATCTGGGAACAGAATGTCAAGGCTGACCTGCGGGTGGAGATTTATGCCCCGGTCACAGCGTCTGGCACAGTGTAAACGAGCTGGCAGTGACAGGTTTCCTCAGCTCTAATCCAAAAAGAGCCCATCCATTTTTGTTTGTGGGGACATTAGGAAGATGAAGGGGGTCAAATAATTTTAGGGTCACATTTTTCCAACCTAAATGTTTTCCTTTTTTTCCCACTGGGTGTTCTCCACTGTGTCATGGAGGTAAACTTTGAGCAGTCCTCAGAAGTGTTGTACGTACTGCTGGTGGTGTTCCCTATTATAGAGTGCAAAGAATGTATAAAAAGATGCATGTTATGTCCAACTTCAACATCATGCATAAATTAGGACAAACAGGCTGAAAAAAACAGACCAAAACACGCCTCTTAGTTTTC